GTTGTATATGTCAAGTATAAACATTACGATGTTTCTCAACTACGATAAAGATTGTTTTCTGTGTGTTCCTTGCCTGAAAATTTCGTATGTTGTATCGATTTCCCAGTCTTTTAAATTGAAATTAATAGCGAACTAAAATTCCGTGGGCCTTCTCAAGAATGAAGAGTTCTCAAAATTTAAATACATTAACAAAGTCTTGCCATGAATGCCCAGGCTAGTGAACACTGCTCAGATCCTGTATATCTTCAATGTGCGTAACTGAGTTGTTGGCTTAGTACGTTAAGTAGATTTGCTCATCTTTCAGTTACCGCTGTTTGTAGGGCCGCGCCATAGCTCAAGCGGTTAGTCGCTTTCTAACTATGAAAATTATTCTGTATCGATAAGAATTTTCTTTCAAACTCCTTTTGAAAGTTCGAAACATATGAATACGAGAGTCCTGAAAGAACGCCATGCCTCTCATCCTTGTATGTATGTTGTCAGATTGAGATAAGCAACAGTTATTGCTATGTTACAAAAATTTGATGTTATTTTAGAAAAAAAAAAAAAAATGATCTTTATAAACAAATGCTTAGTCACGGAACAAGATCAACCATACCGACCCGACTGTAGAAGAAATGAGTCCATCGTTTAGTGATGACTATATTGACGTAAACGCAGTAACATTTATCTGAACTCTGAATCAAACATCAACCAACAGAGCTTCTAAGCTAGAGAGTCACGATCAGTGTCCGTAACATTCATTTGTGGAGGGCTTGTCATCACTGATTGTGTGGTATTACTGGGCTGGTCAAGAAATTCCATGCTTATGCTATATGAAATCATCGGGAGTTTTCCCACCAAAATTCAAGATATATTTTACCATGCTGCTATATTTGTTAACGGCTTAATCCTTTAAAGACTGAATTTCTTCACAATTTTATATAAGAATTCAGTCCGTACCTCACAGGAGACACATTACGTCTCCCCTACAGAGCCCAAACGTTTAATGCTGTTTAGGGAAAGAGTCGCTGGTTATTGTAAGAATTATATGGAACACACAAACACACTCTGTAGGCAGAATGCAGAGTTTTATTATGTTAAAGCATGTCGTACATATATTAACCACTGGGCTCGGGCCGCGCCATAGCTCAAGCGGTTAGTCGCTGGCTTCCCACCGCGGTGGCACAGGTTCGATCCCAGGTCTTGTCAAGTGGGATTTGTGGTGGACAAAGTGGCGCTGGAGCAGGTTTTCTCCGAGTACTTCGGTTTCCTCTGCCAATCTTCATTCCACCAATTGCTCCACAATCACCCTCACCTATCATCTGGGGCTGGTACAATAGGCCAGAAGTGGCCGCAGTACAAGGAACTTAGTCCCACCCCACTAGCAATAAAAAAATTACCGCTCTTTGAGATTATTTATTGTAAAGTTTTGTTGTGTATTCCTTTCTAATCATAAATGACGAGGAACTGATAAATTTGCAATGGTTTAAAAGTTCATGTTTCGAATTGGGGCTTGTTCACAAAATGGTTGTTCATGACTGTCCACGCTCCGTGTGCTATATTAGCAGTGTTCATAAAGTGAAAGTTATTTTCAGTTGGAAGCTTTCGGAACTATTGTATTAGGCCAGTACAAGATACAGAACACTTACGTATACAGTTTCCGCTCACGGATAATAATTATAATCTCGTCATGTGTCCCTTTATTTACATTGCTTTCAAGAAAGCAGGAACAAGAAATATAAATCACTTTGCGAAAAATTTTCTTCTTTTTTTTTATGACAATACGCATAATGTAGCACCATTATTACGAAACACTTTCCATTGTGTTACGTAGAGTTACACAAGGTTAGAACTTCATAAACTGGATTAGACTTGTGTTAGCTCGAAAGGACACAGATTCGTGATGCAATGATCATTCGTGGTCCGGTCTCCTTTTCTTCGGACATACCCATTGTAGTAATTTAGTTCCGTCTCTCTATATAGCGAGCCAGCCACCTGTCTATCTATCCGTCCATATATGTATCTATCTATGGCTCTACACCCCTTTTTTGAACCTTGTCTGCATTTTCAGTTTCTTTATCTTTTACAAAGACGGTAGGACTCCTTTGACGGGAGATCAGTCCCTCGTAAGACCGCTACCTGCACACAGGACAGGGCAAACACAGATTAAACGCACAGAGACATCCAAACCTCGAGTGGGATCCGAACCCACGATCCCGGCTTCCGAGCGAGCGAAGACAGTTCATGCCTTAGACCGCTCGGCTACTGTGACAGGCAATGTATAAGAATAATATATAAGAATTCAGTTCGTACCTCACAGGAAACAGATCCGAACCCACGGTCCCGGCTTCCGAGCGAGCGAAGAGACCGCTCGGCTACCGTGACCTGCTATAATTTAGATACCAACACAAAAATGGAAAGGGGTCTTCAGGGTGAAATTTCTGTATCAAGGTAAAGGTGAAGATGCTCTGTGCTTAATTACGATATACCAAGAAGGCGTATGGGGGAGAGGAGGTATACCTCGAACATTCTTTACTTCGGTACTAGATGGCGGTGAGTGGTTAGCTTCAATCTCCGGCCGCTTTATCCTCGGGAAACGAACCGTGATCCCCACTGAATAAGAGACTGGGCCACAGAGCAGGTCTGGGCGTGTGCAGTAGAGAACAATTTCTTGCCCCTGCCGCGAATCGAATCCTGTCCATTCAGCCAGTCACTATATTGACTGAGATATCGGCTAAGTTATTTAATGATGCTGCTTCAACTTCATACGTTTTATAGCGTTGAATGATACAGGTTGACCTAATACTTTTTTATTTAACGTTGCATCGCACAATTATGTAATATTTCCTTCATTTTGGCCAGTTGCATACGGCGCTGCTGGCTAAGTTCGTGATTATTTTGGACTGCAAAACCTATCCATTATCGTGGAAGCGTGACTCCTCAAAACGTACAATCTAAATGCCATCTCGTGAGAAGAGTTTTCTTTCGGTTGTGACTTGTATCTGAGTTTTTAATTGTGTTATAAAGTAACTTTTGGGGGACAAAAATATTACGTAATATTTTATGCAATTATTGCCCATCTTCCCTGAGTTCAGTAGGTCAGGGGTGCAACGCCTTAGACATGTAAATGTATGTGAAATTCTCATCAATAACTATTACTTCCTTTATTACCTGTAGTATAAATATAATTAACAACAGTAATTTCATAAAAAGTTGTCCTTTTGTACAAATTGTGGCAAAAAATACATGTGACTATACTACCCAGGAGTAGAATATAATGACATAAGTACGTTGACAGTCAACTGACTTTTCTGAGGAACAAAATTGTCTTTATGTTCAGGTTTCAAGAATAAGCCAAGGGAAGAACCAGGTACCAAGCAAGGTTTCATGCTAGCTTTCTGGTTCCCTGAAGACTCAGATAACATATCCGAAACGTCCGTTGACTTTTGATAGAATACAGCGTTATATCCCAGAAGACAGAAATCTGCGTTTTCAATACTCTGATTTGAAGAACGTTGAGTATTCTGAAACTGCGCTCTTACCATTAACATTTCAATCTGTGGGCTTAATTAATCCCCATGGAGATGAATTCTTCTTGAGAAGCTACCAGTCGCTCAGCTACTCAACAATTTTCCAACATTTTACGGAACCCGAAAGTTCATTACCACGCTCACAAGAGCCCTCCACTTGTTCCTCTCCTGAGTCAGATCTATCCAGTCCATACCACCCAATCCTAAGATTAATTTTAATATTATCATCCCATCTACGTCTAGACCTTCCTTTTGGTAATGTATGAGCTTACGTAAATAATATTTTGTAACGTTTTCTGTGGTACTAATTTATATTAATTTCTTATGTAAGCGAGAAAGTTGATAATGTTCCTATAGTAAATTCCGTTTTTCCTGAAAAAGAGACTTGTTATCTTGGCCTCTGAACTTGGTTCGTGACATGTAGTTCTAGTGAAGTGTTTCATTATAAGTATTGTAATGTCATTCGTGACTCAGTGACTTCATTTAATAATCTCTCTGGCCATCAGACACTCTCTTGAGTGCAGCCATAGCAACAAGAGAAAGGGGGAAAACATTTGGAAACACTTGACTGTCGTAACCCGCTTTTCTTTTTGTCATTTCCAGAAATCGAAACAAATTGGAGTATGGGATAAAAATGGAAAGGTGAAAGTATTTGGGGACAGAGAAAGGTGATCACATTGGAAACGCTTTCTGTCGCTCCATATCCACAGGCGTTTTTGGCACCCCACCCATAGCTCACAGTTACAAGAGTCGGTACAGTGTGACACAAAAACTCCGCACTGTGTTCTAACACGAGAATTGGGGAATACATAATTAGTGGGGTTTTTTTTTTTACTTTTTCCTATCATCCAGTATTCTAGAAAAAGCCCCAAAACCCAGTAATTCTGTGTGTTATACATCATCGTCAGAATCCTTTAGAATTTACGAGGATTGTGGGTTCGAATACCACTCGAGGCAATGATATATGCATTTTTTCTGCGCCTGTGATGTCCGCCTTACTGCGGACCATCCTCTGTCACTGGTGAGGATGTTACATGAGGACTATGACCGCAAGGATTGCGCTTAAAAAAATTCTGGTCGTGAGCCTCAAGATATCCGGCGCCAATACGAACTGATTGACAGTAAACCGCCAATCGTAAGGTAACCCTGACCCTGACACTGACACTAACACTGGCTCTGGCTCTGGCTCTGGCTCTGGCTCTGGCTCTGACTCTGGGTCTATGAATTCCATTGTTGGACAGTCGACCATGGTGAATTTCTTCTGGTTTTCGTCAGTAGAGTCAGTTTTGGTTTCGGGTCCCGTTAGGATCCATGACCATAATTTTGTTCTTTCCAAGAATTTTACGTGTTTTGAAATGGGGCCTCCTCTTCAACGTGAGAGGTCTGACTACTACTGGTCACTCCCCCCTCTCCTGGACACTCACTGGGCCTCTCGTCCACACGCACACGCACACAAGCACACATTGTCAGGGGGTAACGAAGGGCCCTTACCTTGTACAGCTTGTCCCGCTGGTACCAGACATCTTCCTCTTCGTCTTGCATCACGTATGTGGAGTCCAAGTTGAGGTCGTCACGTGACCGGGACAGTATCCTACGGCGAGATACCATTTCGGACTGAGGAGCGGGGCCACAGCTGCAATCAAACACCCCTTATTACAAACATCATCCCCTCACAAAACCGAGCAAGTTGGCTCAGAATGTGTGTCGGGGCACTGGCCATCCTGAGGGATGTGGTTTCGGGCAGTAATTTCAGGCGAACGCTGGGATTTCTTTTTATTGCTAGTGGGTTGGGACCGTTGGGACTAAGTCCCTTGTACTGTGGCCACTTCTGGCCTATTGTACCAGCCCCAGATGATAGGTGAGGGTGATTGTGGAGCAATTGGTGGAATGAAGATTGGCAGGGGAAACCGAAGTATTTGGAGAAAACCTGCCTCAGCGCCACTTTGTCCAACACAAATCCCACTTGACCAGAACCCTGATCTGACCTAGGCTCGAACTCGGGCCACCGCCATGGGAAGCCTGCCAATAACCGCCTGAGCTATGACGCTGACATTAACATTGTGTCTATCAAATATGTCTCAGAAAATGGGAGGTGTCCAAAATGTTTAGCGCACCCTATACAGTGAGCTTAATCTGAATGTGTTGATATTCCACGTGTAGATCTTGAAGACCGGTACGGCCGCCACAAGAACTGTATGTAGCTGATGCCACTTTTGCTGTAAAATTGTCTGACTACAATACCTGGGGGGGGGGTTAATCTCTTCATTTGCACCTGAACCGTACTGAAGTGATTCTGAAGGTCTCGCTTCTCCTGCAAGGGTTACAACAAAGAAGTCACTGTGCGGGGCCCCGTGCATCTGTTAGCAGGGCAACATTTTATGTTCTTGGAACTAAACTGCTTCTTTTATGATAGCAAAGTGAGATACGTGTATGTGCCAGTGACTAACGCCTTACATTGCTCATAAAGATCTTCAAATATCGTGGATTAGGCGCTTTGATCCATTCCAGTTAACACGTAACAGCTGTTTGGATCCCTTGCTTGGCAACGACACAATGAGGCGCATCTGCACACAACGTGCTGGCACATTTGTTATAGTGGTAACAATTCTGACATATTTCCAAGAAGTATCTGTTTCGAATCTTGGCTGCGACACCAAAAATCCTGGTATGTTTTCATACGTACCTTAAATTAGGCCACGAACGTTTCCTTCCTAATCCCTACAAATTATTTACTATCATCCAATCGTTCGAGGCTGTATAATCTAAGATATTGGTAGCGTCGTCAAACAATATAAAAGTAAAACGTAAAGCTATCCCTGTAACAGGCGTTGGAGGCCTATATGTTTGTGAGACATCGAGGCTCCCACATTTTCTAGACAATCGGCTCACAGATGGCGGTGAGGTTGCCAGCCTTAGACGCCGGCAGGCCGCCCTTTACCCCCAGTAAGATTCCTGGTACTCATTTTTGCCAGAGGCTGAGTCGACCCCACGGCCATAGTGCGGCTGGAAGGATTAGGTCAATTGGAAAAATTCAGTGACCTCATCGGGACTCGAACTGTCGACCTCCCGGATTGTAACATAGTGCCTCAACCAACAACGCTACCACGTGCCTCATCATTCAGTAATGTAAAAGAAATAAATACACGGAAAAACACAACGAAAATAAAGCTAGGTAGTACACGTGGAATGTAATAATACTAGACGCTTTTCAGTTTGGTCTGGTATTGCCTCTGTGTATCTCTTCTAAGTCCTTCCTGTTGAGTCTCTCTGGGATCTGTATGACAGCTTAGATGCTACAAGAGCCGTCTAAACCGACCTTCAAAAATAATTAAATAAAGACCAGCTCAAAGTTTCTTTATGACGAGAGATAGATCCCTGTGAGTAACTAATTAACCATTACGGTATTGCCTACAGGAGGGAGTGGATGTATTTTTTTTCCTTGGCACTACAGCCCCTGTGGGCCTAGGCCTACTTCCATGAACTTCTCCATGAACTTGCCTCGGCATTAATTGGAGATTAGTGGTCAGCTTCACGCCCCGGCCGGTTTACGTCCTGGGAAACAGCCCCCGGTCCCCATTGAATAGGAGGCTGTGTGGGCCCCAGAGCCGGTCTGAACGACTTGATGAAGAGAAGAGTCCTGGTCTTCCGGGAATCGAACCCCGGACTTTCAANAGTCAGTCGCTACACCGACTGAGCTATCTCAAAAATCGATCTTCGTTCGGGGGGGGGCGGTGATTATTTTGAAAGGCAGGGAAGACTTGGTGGGAAAATATCTCAAGGCGTGTCCACGGGGGTTGTGCGTGAGTATTCCCGGAGCAGAGGCTGCGTCATGTCTGAAGAGAATACTGATAAGGGGAATTGTGACAAGCTGGAATCAAAAAAGTCGATTGCCTCACTCTGCTTGATTAATCCACACGCCTGAAGGCTTGTGTAGTAATACCGCCTGTGTTGAAAGAATAGTACGTTACGTCACGCGCATGCTCATTTTAAACTGACGCGGAAGAATAAATAAAAATGTAAACGTAGATTAAAATAATTTATTTCGGAATGAGAATTCCATACTGGTACTTTCTTTACTGAGACTTACATCAGATAGGCATGGTTTATAATGTTCGTGGCGTCTCATATATCAATTACGAGTAGCTGCTGAAAGTTTGCTGAAAATGTCGATAGATGTCAGGGCATATCTCTTTTCGCGAGAACCGCCATATAAGCCATACAGGACTGTTCGAAAAACCTCCACATCATTTACAGAACGAAAAATGTTTATCATTCAAACAGAAATTATAAATGATTGTTTAAATTACATCAAAAGTTTTGTCTTCTGGTATGTAATGACGTGTAGTCTGTTGAAAGTCAACCGAAGTTTTGGAGGAACATGCTCCTTCATCTTCAGGGTCGAAAGTAGCGTGAATTAAGGGGACAGGACAGGGGAAGCTAGACTAGATGGAAGGTTATCACTTGTCCCTGTCTTTTCCTAGACTAACACAAACAGTCCTTTTCAGGGCCAGGCGTGTTCTTCTCTGCTACTGGTGCGCTCGGTTGTGTGTGAGAGCCAATGGGAACTGGCAGTTCATTCTGTCTTGTGGGCGATCCAACAGGAAGTAACTTCCTGTCTTTTATTTCCATCCTGTTTCCTATATAATCCGACGTTTCTGGTAGCTGATTTCTCTGTTTGCCCCCTGCTTTCACACTGCTTTCTTTTTTGGTGTATTTTTTAGCTCTGAAACTGGAGGTGACATGTTTCTTCGAAACGTCGGTTGGTTTTCAACGGACTACACGGCGAAGATAGAATTTTTCATGGCCAACGCTGTGAGAACCTCAAATTCTGCGTACGCTATGCAACCATTGTAGTTGATTTACGTTTTATATTTGTTTATGCCCTGTTTACTGACTCACCCTCGTATCTTCCTACGTACGTTTTGAATTCTATTGTGTATGCCACTGCTACGTGTACTGTATAAGGGGAACGCGGTAGCGTAGTTAGTTAAGGGGCTATGCTACAAGCCGGAAGGATTGGATTTTTTTTTCAATTGACCTAATCCTTCCAGCCGCACTATGGCCCTGGGGTCGACTCAGCCTCTAACAGAAATGAGTAGCAGAAATTAATTAAATAATTTTCCTGGGGAGTAAAGCGCGGCCGACGCGTAAAACTGACAACCTTGCCGCCATATTTGAGCCGATTGTCTAGATGAGGGAGCCTCAACGTCTCACAACCCTATGGGCCTTCAGGGCGTGGTACAGGGATAGCTTTACTTTACTTCTATGCCACTCCTATGTAGAAACGTCCGTGGACTCAGTGCGACACGCGGTCTTGTAACGAAAGTAAACGCATGTTGTTGTTTATAAACTCTTGATACTGGTCGCAAGTGACAGAAACATGTAGCGAAAATGGCAATTTAATAAATAAGTATTCATCAGCGTGGTCCATGAGTATGGATGAATGTTTGGATTTTCAGGATTAGCAGCCGTGAGATAGAAATATGAACAAAGGAACGGAATTCTGTAAGTCAGAAGAAACACTTGAAGGAACAGGATATGTGTGTGTGTTCATGTATTCCTCAATGTATAGAGAAGATGCTAAACATGCTGTATTAGTCATAAGTTGTCTTAAAAATGACAAGGAACCTTGAAAGATAAAAATTTACCGCTTATTAAAGAACTTTAAACACAGTCAAACATAACTAACACCGTGAGAGCGGAGCCCTTCTTGAGAAGCTACCAGTCGCTTAGTTACTCGAGAAATTCCCAAAATTTTATGGAAACCGAAGGTTCATTACCGTGTTCACAAGAGCCCTCCACTGGTCACTATCCTGAGCCAGATCAATCCAATCCATACCATGCCGTCCTTTCTATGTGATCCGTTTTAATATTGTCCACACACCTACATCTTGGTTTTCCCAGTGGTCCTCTCCCAATTCGTGCTACATGCTCTGTATAACTCATCCTTGACTTGACAACGTAGTAAAACATAATATTATTTACGCTCAGAAGTATGAGAACAGATATTGTGACGTTCAGTGTCTAAAACCATTCAGTACATTAAATGAACTTTGAGAAATGTTGAATACCCCTGAAAATATATACACATCACTCCTTTCAAAAGACGGATTTTGGAGAGCACACTCGTGAGGAATATATATTGACACAGTATTGAATTTCTCTTTTCGCCAGGTGTGAAACAATTCCATTTCACCACCTGTCCGGGACCGGTTTCAGGTATCGACTGTGTGCTGTACATTCATATTAGCAGAGCCATAAGCGTGTCAGGTGGCCAAGCTGCAGTCGTTACGGGCGGCTTAGAAATTGGGGTCAGTTCCGACTACAGCGTCCACTGATACATCCCTGCTACTGAAGCACACGCCCAGCTGATGGCGTACTGTCTTAGAGCTTGTCGCTGAATCGCTTCATCTCTTGGTTATTTAATCCAGTAGGCGCATTTGGGGAAAATTAGGCGTTTGTCCCAGTCCCATCTTCAGCCCCCCAGTCTGTCCCCTAAGCCTTTTGGAACTATAAAAAAAGTAAAGTAAAGATATCCCTGTAACAGGCCGTGGAGGCCCATAGGGTTGTGAGACGTCGAGGCTCCCACATATTCTCTAGACAATCGGCTCACAGATGTCTGTAAAGTTGTCA